CGTGGTTCACGTCACCTTCAAGAAAATGAAATTGACCTCTATAGAGCCAGCTCCATGGAGGTGAGTAGTACAGCCCTGAGGCATTGTTTTTGGTAGCTCCACGCCCTATGAGATCATATGCTTGGTTCACGTCACCTCCAAGAAAAAATTGACCTCTATAGAACTGGCGTCATAGAGCTAGCTCTGTGCACTATGAATGCATATACATCGTTCACGTCACCTTAAAGAAAAACTGGCTCTATAGAGCTGGCTCCATGCTCTATGAATGCATATACATGGTTCACGTCACCTTAAAAAAATTGACCTCTATAGAGCTAGCTCCATGCACTATGAATGCATATGCGTGGTTCACGTCACCTTCAAGAAAAAAGAAATTGACGTCTATAGAGCTAACTCCTTAGAGCCAGATCCATGCACTATGAATGCATATGCATGGTTCACGTCACCTTCAAGAAAAATTTGGCCTCTATAGAGCTAGCTCCATGCACTTTGAATGCATATACGTGATTCACGTCACCTTCAAGGAAAAAATTGACCCCTGTAGAGCTGGCTCCAAGGAGGTGATTAATGCAGCCCTGAGGCAGGTTGCTTTGTAACTCCATAGAGCTGCCTCCATATTTACTATGGAATCATATGCTTAGTTCACGTCACCTTCATAAAAAAATGAAATGACCACTATAGAGCTAGTAGGTCCCTAGAGCCAGCTCCATGCACTATGAATGCATATGCTTGGTTCACGTCACCTTCAAGAAAAAAACGACCTCTATAGAGCTAACTCCATAGAGCCAGATCTATGCAGTATGAATGCATATGCATGGTTCTTATCACCTTCAAGAAAACAATAGACCTTTATAGAGCTAGCTCAATACAGCTGGCTCCATGTACTATGAATGTACTTCAGCAGAGTGTGCTTTTTTATGTTATGCTTAAGCTAGACCATTATGTAGGAATGGAAAAATGTTTTCTGGGAAATTGTTCTTTGATCTTTTCCGATACCCATCCGGCCTGTAGCTGCATCGTGTTCTTCGCGTTGTCAATATCAAAAACCGCGTCACCATGTGCGTGTGAAATACGGTGAATAAAGGATACAAAAGAGATGTTTTAACAGATTATTTTATGACAGGAAGGTCGTAAACAACTCTAATTGTGTCCGTCTAGACAAAGGTTTTACACTTATGTGTCCGTTTGTACTGAAAAAAATGAATACAGAATAACGCTGTGAACAGTGGAAATTCCCCCCTTTTTTCGATATCCTGTTTAGATATAAGAAACGAACACTGCAAGCTGAGACAGAAGAAGAAGAAGACACGAAAGGAGTGAAGGAATTAGCACTTCCGTGCCAATCGACCCTAAGCAGTTGACAAATGTCATTAGGTGACGTATTGCTTTCGTTGTCGGGATTTAGCCAAAACAATGAAGTTAAACCTCCTCGGCCAAAGGGATAACCTTGATTTAGCAGAGCTCAAATCCCGCCTTTACACTTAAATGAATTCCCTCTAAAGACAAACAGTGAAAATAGCCTGTTATTAATTAGTGTCGCTTGTCCCCTTTGTTTTTGGGCCCGAGGACCGTTCATTATCTGTCGCTTGTCCCCTTTGTTTGTGGGCCCGGGGACCGTTCATTATTTGTCAACTAAAGAAGGCGTAATGGAAACCAACGCCGTGAATACTGAAAATTCTATATTTCACAATGTCAATGGCCTCAACCGGGCTTTTTCCTTTTGATATCATGTTTTCTTATTGTATTATCGTATTGTCAGTTCTAAAATGAACACCACCATTGTTCGCAAGCTGAGCCACGATAGATTGCAGAAAATCGCATCTCTGTACCAATCGTTGACATAGGTCATTAGGTGACATCGATATCGTGGTCAGGATGAGGTCCCGACAACTTTTAAACTGGAGAGCTCAAATAAACGCAGTATGAATTCCAACACATGGTTTGCGTCACAAAATTTAGTATAGTGTATATAGTCAATCAATACACAAGGACAGCCTTGCCGTAACATAACTAGTATCAAACACGATCATCCAAGATTTATAAATACCAATACTAGTAAACCGATGCAAACAATTTTCTGTACCATTTTCTGGAGCGTGGTATTTTTTTAAGGCAACGGGAAGCACGTTTATGTATTTATCTTGAAGGTGACGTGAAACATGTATATGCATTCAAAGTGCGTGGAGCCAGCAAAACAGCCTCGACAGACCGGCACTGTGTGTACATGTATCGTTCTCAGTGTGTGGGGCCGCATAGAACACCACCAAAAACGATTATCCAAGATTTGCAAATGACAATACACCGATCTAACCATTTTCTGGAGCGTGGTATTTTTTGACGGCAACGCGAAGCACGTTTATGTATTTATCTTGAAGGTGACGTGAAACATGTATATGCATTCAAGGTGCGTGGAGCTAGCAAAACAGCCTCGACAAGACCGGCACTGTGTGTACATGTATCGTTCTCAGTGTGTGGGGCCGCATAGAACACCACCAAAAACGATTATCCAAGATTTGCAAATGACAATACACCGATCTAACCATTTTCTGGAGCGTGGTATTTTTTGGCGGCAACGCGAAGCACGTTTATGTATTTATCTTGAAGGTGACGTGAAACATGTATATGCATTCAAAGTGCGTGGAGCTAGCTCTGTGGGCAAAACAGCCTCTGAGAAGACCGGCACTGTGTGTACATGTATCGTTCTCAGTGCGTAGGGCCGTATCAAGTTTAAACACGATATATTCTAGAGCATGATTTCTTCATTGTAAGTGACGTGAACCATGCGTGTTCTTTGTGCACGGGGCTGTTTATTTCTCAAGACATTTATAGCGCTGGTTTGTTTTCTTGAAGTGACGTGAACCATGTATATGAATTTTTCTTGAAGGTGACGTGAACCAGGCATATGCATTCATAGTGCGTAGAGCTAGCTCCATGGAGCTGGAAAAAATCTGCCTCAGGGCTGAAGTACTTACCTCCATGGAGCTAGCTCCATGGAGCTAGCTCCATGGAGGTGAGTAGTACAGCCCCTATTGCAAAAATGGGCAAAGATGTCTGTTGCCATGCTGGAGGGTGGATGGCAGATAACTAGGAAGAGAGGAGACAAGAAAAGGCTCTGATTTATTGTTTGTTTCTTACTTTGATGCAGTAATATGTTATGCTGACTGTGTATATGTGATGTTCCTACTGAATCAAAACCATTTGTACAATGATTGAGTCAAAATTTTACATTGTAGGAACCTTGTTTTTTTTCGGCCGGCCTTGTTTTTTTTTCGCCCGCTCGCATTAGATTTGGAGTCTGCGAAGGATGTCATCCATAAAATTTACTTGCTGTGGCCTAAATTATATGTGTACGTATATGAAAAGAATAATTGTATCAAGAACGGAACATATTAAACACAAAATCGTCGCCTGTGTTTTTTTAAAAACATCATACTTGTTCACATTCTTTACCGACTAGTATTATATAGGTTCTGTTATCGATTTCCGAAGAATCACTAAAATTGTAGAGTGTACAGGCGTTCGTTTGTTGTTGCAGCGAACATCGCAAGATGGCTTCCTGGCAAGTTTTCCTATAGCGAGCGATGAGGGCTTGCATGTCCGACAGTTTTCAAAGATTGGACAGGGAGCGACAGTGTAATATCAAACGAGCTGGCGGCTTCTGCTAGCCGTGTTTATAGTTATGTTACATCAAGGTGGTTTAAAAGTGAACCTGATAAAGAAGGAAATTTCCTAGAAGGACTTGGTGCCTTACTTGAAGTGATCGTTACCGCCATGTTGTTCACTTTATATCACATACAATGCAGTGCATAATGGAGGCGCACCTACTTAGCTCCGTTGGTAACGCGCAGGACGGCAATACCAGGCATTGCAAGTTCGAACCCCGTACATCAGACATTTTTTTAACCATTTTAACATTTTTAACAATTTTAACGTTTTTAACAATTTTAACATTTGTAACATTTTTAAACAACTTTAGCCTTTTTAAAAATTTTAACTATTCTAACCATTTTAACAATTTTAAACATTTTATATTTCTTGTACCAATTTCAAAATCCTTTGTTTTGCTTTTAACATTCAAAAACTGATTGACGTTCTTACTCAAGAATGTCAATAACTTTGAATGTCTTTTTCCAACATACAAACCAAAACCACTTTGATGTCACAAAAGTGACATCTGTGCGCGCATCGGTTTTCGTTCATTTAAAAACTAAGTTCACGACAATCATACAAAACATGTGAAAACTAAGCAAACATACTCTGTAAATTGATATTCCCGATTTTTTTCACTGTACCGCAATGCAAGCGGGGAGTCAATGTAAACGGTTTTCACTGTCACCTCTGTACCGTGAACGTATTATAACAGTAAGGAAATAATTCCTGGACTTTCTTTTTCCTGCAACTGTCACCACCGTGAATATATAGTTCCGTGAACATGTCCAATTTTCTTAGACCGTGAAAATTTTGCTACCGTTAGTAGTAGTTGCAATCTCGTCATTATTATAGTAGTATTTAGATACCTGCAATATATAACTTTGAGATTGAGATAATCGTAAAGTAAAGCTGTCAAGATTTTAAGTGATTGTCCTTGTATCTTTGTAAAAAAAAAGGTAGATAATTGGCAAGTGCCATTTTTGTAATGATCTGTCGAGATTCAAAAAGCTTGTCCTTTTATAATTGCAGTATAATTTATTCAGAATCTTTTGTTTTTGTTTTGGGAGGGAGATGGAGTGAAATATTACATTTGCTCCGATGCAAATGTTGGCCTTTCTAGTTGTATTTTAGATTTATGTATACTGTGTTGTTGTTTTGCTGTCTATAGGCTCTGCCTGATGCAAACAATAAATAAATTAAGTAATCCGGTATAATTTTTACGGCGTCACGTCAAAATTGAATTTAAAATGTTCAAGTGAATTTTCTGGACATTCTTTTAATCTAATTTATATGTCACTTCGGTGAAGGTTGGACATCCGGGAAATGTTGGAATTTACTGTCAATGAGACAGATGAGTGGGCACAGGTCATCATTTGCCGAAGTGGGTCCTCATGTAGGAATAAATTTTGGACGCACATGAGCGGCCGCAGACCTGCAAGGGAAGGAATGAACAGGGATGGAGAATTGTTTCCTCCTCTCTTTCTTCTTCTTTATGGCAGCTGCTCTGTTGGCCCCGAAAGTCCTAGTAAAGCTAAGGTCCCAATTACCCCGCGCCCGTCAGGGATGTAGCCCCGGCTTGCCCCGGCCGGGCTCAGGCGGGCACCGGCTGTCGTGGTCACAATGAAAAGTTTCCTTCAGTAGCATTTTGTTATCTTGTCACCCTCTTTGGTCGCACTCCAGCAGGCACCCGGCAGGTACCCGACGATGTCTTGTACTGACCGTAATGCAGAAGTTACGCTTTTGTTGTGAACTTTGATCTGTGACGTCACACATGTTACGCGGGTTTACGAAGTACACACCTTTATTATTCTGTTCATCTGGTCTGTGACGTAACAAATGTGTCCCGGTGGACTGCCGGCAACCGGAGGGGTACTCTTGGTGTTCTCACGGTGAGGTCACGGTGTCTTTTTGTCAGCGGGGCCCGGGTAGAATTTAACTCAGAGTTCAATTCTTCTCGGGTCCCCGCCGGGCCCAAAACTAGCCCGATAGCCCCTTGGTGTACTTAGGGGTCCCGCCAGAAAGTGCCAAAAAACAGCTCGGGTACTACCCGCCAGGGCCCCTTATTTTCCAATTGGGACCGTAGCATAACCAGTGTACACTGCTTTTTCCAGGCAGTTTTATCATGGGCGATTTCTTCCCATGAGTTGACATCAATGCTACAGCTCCTTAGGTTGTCCCTGTATCTTTTGAGTGGTCTTCCTGGGTTACACTGCCCTTGCTTCAATTATCCATGTAACGGTACGTTTGGGATTCTGCTATCCTCCGTGCGGACAACATGCCCTGCCCATCTTAACTGTCATTTTACGATCAGACACTCAACACTTGTGAGGCCACACTTCTCCAGAACCTGCAAGTTGGACACCTTGGATTGCCATGGGTTCAAATCTCCCCAGTGACATATATAAAGGAAATTAAATCAAGCCTTTCCCAAACCACGCTGATCTCTGTTAGGCAAACGTGTGATGTCGCTAACGAAAAACTGTTAGTTAAATGTTCCTTTACGACTCCCTGTCGTCTTCTATATCTAAAATTTACAAACTTTTGGTCCCTTTGACGACATGTTTTTGTTAGGGACCCGTCCGGTGCCCGGTCAGTTTCCCGTCTCGACCCGTGCGGGATGCAATAGGGTGCCGAGCGGCTCTTGCATTCCGGCCGGGTAGCTGCAGGGTCCCTGGCGGGGTTCAGGGGTGATCCTGGCGGGTCCCTGAATAGTACGCCCCTGGCTGGTATAGTAGGTTCACCCCTGGTTGATGCGCAGACCAGTGCATGGTCACTACGACTCACTGATGATGGAGATTGAGAACATTACAAAACCCTCTATAACCACCTTCTTCTGAACAACTAAAGCACAGATCAGCACACGTAACGTCATAAGCTTGGACAGTTGTCTGTGCGGCCGCCTGGCGGGTCCCGGTCGCTCCGTCCAGGTCCCGTTCGGTAGTGCCTTTCTTTAATTGTGTCCTAGGCTTTTGTAAAGTATCGACACTTCTGTTTGCTATTTCAAAGGCTTTAAGTATGGACTAATGACTTCGGAAAATGAGCTGAAAATGACAGTAAATGTGAATATCAGATTGTCTCATCCTGACATCCAGAATCTTTTTTTTTTCGAATTTCCCAATGCCTCTAAACTATTTTGAAGGCTTTGGGGAAAATGATAACGTTTTAGGGGTGTTTTTGATTTTTTTTTCCTTTTGCAGCTTGTCAAATTATTCCATCGTCCTTGACGACGTGCAGGGCCCTTCACTACCAAATGATGACCCTTCCCAACCCACTCAACTTCACCCACACCACGGTCGCCCAAGTTGAGAACTCAGCAGGGTTCACTGACCTCATCGCCCTTGCAGATTCAACCTGTCACCCCCGTGTTAGAGACCTCGTCTGCGCCACTATTGTGCCACGCTGCGAGTCCAGGTATTATAGTTTTTTAATCTTTGTAGTAAACTTAGTTCTAATTTCTGTTGTTGTTTTCATATCTCCATTTTGTTCAGTGATTTAAAAACACATGGATGATTATTTACTTTTACAAAAGAAAACGTACGTAAATAATTTCATCAGGTTTGTAATCGAATGAACAGCAAAGTCCTTTCATCACAGCCATTTATTTTTACGAGCCGACGTTCCGATGACCGTCTGTCATCTTCATCAGGGCAATTCTGACTGGATTACTGTGCACTGACGCTAAATATTACTTGGTGCATAGTGCATTAAAGTGTTACATAGTAACATTTAGCGTCAGTGCACAGTAAACCAGTCAGAATTGCCCTGATGAAGATGACAGACCGTCATCGAAACGTCGGCTCCGGAAAATTAATTGGTTGTGATGAAAGAACTTTGCACAGAAAACGTAGTTTTAACATTTCATGACCAGTCTTGTAGCATTGTTTCTTTTACTTGTAACAAAGTTGAGAAACAAAAGTTTTCCACAATCCTATATTATTGCTTCAATCAAGCAATCATTAATCTCACAAATGTTCTACAATTCATAATTTATGATATATTTCACTAGGTTGAGGCGTAGAAATAAGATAATATCCTGAAAAATACAACATATGATACTAATTACATATTATTGCAATTACATGTATCATTTATTTTTATTGTTTAGTCCAAATCTCCGACAGCAGCTTCCATGTCGGTCTTGGTGTGAAGAAGTGAGGTACTCGTGTGAACTTGAGAACGCCTGGTCAGCTTTTCCAAGCTGTGAGATTTTCCCCTACACTAACTGTAACAACATCATGGCTTCACAAACTCCGGGTGGTGGTGAGTCTATCGATCTTTTTCTTATATTTACCAAGGAAAACATATTGTTTTGCTCGGTTTCTTCCTCTTCTTCTTCTCCAAACAGTGACCTATATGACCTGACCAATGACATGATTTGTTCACGTCTGTCACCATGGTGATTGGTGTTGGCTTACATAATGTTGCAATCTCATGGTCTGCTCTGCTCCTGTCACCATATACTAGTAGTACATGTATGTGGATATGTTTGAGTAAGAATTAACAGAGAAGACCATATCCGAAGGTAAACATTATGCATTTGCTTTGCCAGTGTTTATTTATTTCAGCTTTGCTACAGGATGTGACTTAACTGTGGACACAGGGCATATATATGCAGTCCTTTGTAACATCCCTCTTCAAGCTGAAAACATAACAGTTAAATGGTACATAAAAGCTAAACGTAAAATAAGAAAAAACTGGATCAACATATAGTAATGCATAAGATGTACACTTTAAACAAGAACGCAAATGCAATAAACAGAACTAGGTCATGACTACTGGTTAATACTTGGTAAATAAATAAACAAAATAACACGATATTCATACGGGCCAAAAACAACAATAAAGATGGTAATGATAATAATGATAATAACAATAATAAAGAAATATACTACACAATTCTAAGAACGTGTGTGTCAGGTGGATAATAATGTTTTCAGGGTCTGTACCCATCCGTTCGATATACATTAATGGTGTTATTTGTTGTAACAAACTACAGATGAATAAGCCTGTTAATAAGGTACAAGATTTATTTCTAAACCTTATTTCTTTTTTTGGCGACGTCTCAGGGAGGAGCCTAATGGTACAGTATTGTGTATTATCTGCAAGAATTCTAGGAATTCTCAAGGAATTTTGTCCACAGGAATGGAATGTCCACAGGCATTTCTCTGACTTACATCTATGCTCACATTCCTGGAAACCCTTGGAAGACCTGTCTGCCCCGGATGCCCTACTTTCTGTTACCCCGGGGCTCGTTCTCTATACACTCAAGGGAGGAGCGCACTGTATCTGTCTAGATTTAACAGCTTCCTCAAAATCATGAAATGATGGCAGTGCCATGCAGACAATAACCCTAACAGCAACCACGGTCGCCATGACAATGTATGTTTTCAATGCCAGTCTTGTTACCCTTACAGAGGAGTGTTTCGATGGAAACGGTGCAAACTACAGAGGAAACGAGGCGAGAGATCCTATAGCAGGGGTAGACTGTGAACGATGGGACAGTGATCCAACCTACATAAAGCCGTATCCCTGGGCAAACCTCGTGAGTAACAAATGCCGCAACCCAAACGGTGACACCGGACCATGGTGCATCACTCCAGGTGGATTCGAGTACTGTGACATTATTCCTTGCAACGGTAAGTCGTCAAGTCAATTTTATTGATGATATTCAGAGAAATATATGACATGAACAAAGTAATAAAGAAAGTAGAAACTTTCAAAATAAACTGTTTGGATCTAAGAACGCAATGAACATTGAGTTATACTTGAATTATAAGAGGAGAATGCAGACGCTATGTTACGCAACATATTTATCCTTCTAAGATTATATACCTCGACGTTTGGCGATCTTAAAAACAGTGGACCATGTCTCAACGTCAGAGACTACGACTCTATCCAGTTGTGGCCATATCAACCAGGGCTAGGTTTCGAACGCGCGACCTTGTGGTTCATAGGCAATGGTCTATAAACGGTTGATTACGTACAGCGTGTATACTGTTGTAACAATCAAACAAGTTATCTTGAAAGTTCATCTGTGTTGGTGGAAATCATTATGAAGCAAGTTTTAACTGTAATTTCCAACACAACAAACTGAAATTAACCAAATTTTTCGACTGCACAACTCAAGTCTTTGTCAAGGAATGAGCAATCCGCTTCCAGGATGTCACACAGATAACACTCGTGACTCCGAGAGCAATGGATCATGGGTTGCAGAGAGTCTGTGGCGCCCCCCGTCTCTGTGGGGGGGATGGTTGCAATGCCCTGAGGTAGATGGCCTCTTTAATCCCTCGTGCAAAAAAAGTCCGGTTCTAAGTCCAACATTCTTACTTTATCCAGTAAGACTGAATGTACAGGCGATTCTAAGTGTATATGTTGTGAGACCTCGTTTGTGACCTAGCTCGACCAACAATGTATATACCAAGTTCAGCATGGATAGCGAAGACTATTAACCCTACCTAGACCGGGGGGGGCTAAAAGTGCCCGCGGCAACTTTGATGTCACCTTGCGTCTAAACAGCTAGCCGTAGAACGGCCAAACTTGGTGACTTTTCCTAGAATATTGTTGGCAACAATTCTCTATCATTGGAATAAGATAATAATTTTTTGTGTTGCCATGGCAACGGGTTTCTGACAGGCATTTTTTTGCTAAATTTAGTACTTTTTGTTTCAACAATAGAATTTTATGGGTTTTATGTCAAGTTACTCATGGTTTCTAATATTAATAACATCCCATATAATTTTATGTAAATTTTATCATTAAATATGCATAATTTATGCTAATTTGATGACGTCATTGGCCAAAATCCAAGATGGCGGACCATACCATTAGAACAGGTATATACAGGTTATTTTCATTAAAATTGCATCAATACTTCCATTTCTTTTTCCAAAAAAGGTTTAAATGAAGGTCTTTAGTATGTTAACAATGTATTTTAGGCTTTATCATGAAAAAAAAAACTATTTTTGAAAATTCAAGATTGATGATCCAAGATGGCGGATATCTTAAATATGCATGACGTCATTTATGACGTCACCGATGTTGCTCTGGGCAACATAAGACTTAGTACACCATAATATTGTGTCATAAACACTTTTGGTACAGTTATGTTGAATACCATTTAGTTTTCAGGGAAAAACCTATTTAGACGGTTTTGGCCAATAAAATCACATTACTGACGTCATAATGACGTCATATTACGTCATAACGACATAAAAATTGTAGATATGATAAATTTTCACTAGTACACCATTCTCTGAAAATTTGGTGGTCATACGACATACCGTTTGCGAGTTCTTAGGGGGGGTCAAAAGAGCCCCCCCCCCGGTCCCCCCATGTCAAAAAAAGCCCGGTCTAGGTAGGGTTAAGAACACCATATCTAATGCTGAGGTCGCATTTCCTATTCGGGAACAAATCGAAAAGGCACCCAAAACACAAAGGATTTACAACAATCAAATTTACAGTTATAAGCACTATCTGTACATATTCTTAAAATGCATCATCTTGTCTTGACTTGTCTAACCTTTGTTATCGTTTGGACTTCCAAAAACTGTCTTCACTTATTTGCATACCGATTAACAGTTCGTTCTTATAAACCTGCATTTCTCCAATGGTCTCTTTTAGTCACTGACGATAACTGACTGACCGTTTCCAAAACCATATATTCAGCTGCTTGAGTAACTGCTTTAGGGCGTATTCTTAAAATGGATGATTTGTTTGTGTGTTCATGCATCAGCCTGACCTGGCACTGGCTTTGAAATGTGAACTCAGCATACTTAAACATTGTAGGCTTGTAGACATAACTTAAAAGTTACATGTTTTCCATGTCTCAATTCTACAGCTAAAGGTTGTGACGATCCAGGGAAACCAAAGTTTGGAAAGAGGACTCCTGTTCTAAAGTTCTACTTCCCAGGAGAACGAATCACGTACAGCTGTGATACGGGATACGAGTTCAAGGAATACACCCCGACAAGGCCGAACGTTGCTGAATGCGTTGTGATTAATGAAACAACAGGACATGCCGACTGGGAAACAGCAAAACCAGATTGTGAAGGTAAGGATATAAATTTTTCTATCTGTTTTTATGTACTAGTTCAATCACCACATACATGTCAGCTGTTAAAGTTTCAAGTTTATTGCGATGCTTTTTTCGTCAATAATGATGAGTCAGAGATAACATGCCCTCACGCACACACAAACACGCGCACACACGCACGTACGCACACACACAGACACACGCACGCACGCACACACGCACACATACGCACGCACGCACACGCGCGCACACACACAAACACAAACATAATCGTCATAAAACGAGACTTCTGTACTACAGAAAAAAATGGTTAGCATAACCTATTTGCATACGGGGCTCTCGTATGCAATATTTTAGTGGCTGAGTACAAGAGCCCCGGTATACAAACATAATAGCAACAATGCCATAAAAAGGGTGTCTAATTTAAAACATTTAAACATTCTTTGTGTTGCAGTCGACCAGAAATTCAAGCTACAAAACGACAAACTAAACGAGAACGTGTACAACAAGGCGGCGTCTCCAACAAAAAGTCTGGAAATAAAGGCATATGTTGTCAACGTCATCAACTTGGTGAGTGATAGAGTTCTTAACGGTTATCTATGTCACTACCCTTCTACACATCTTTCGGCCGCCCTTCACACTTAAATTTCATCAACGAACCGTTTCTAACTTCAAGTAACATTATACTGAATGACCTCTGGCCTCCTAACCATACTAAGTCATATTATTTGCCTACATTATCAATTGCCTTATGTTTGTTATGGATCTAATGCCTAGGTCACATTTCGAAACCGGGGCCCTGCCGGGCAGTCATTTGGAACGAAAAATTTGGTATAAAACACAAGAAAGCACAGAAAGGTTGAAAAATATCAACAATGGTATTTACGTATATTCTTGATGAAAATTGTTGAATTTTCACTAATCGAAACAGCCCGGCCGGCCCCGGCTTGGAAATGTGACCCCAGCATTAGGTATAAGAAATTTCTGTAATTTATGACTTTATTATACTATGTGTTTATGTATGTGTGTATTTCATAATGTCTGCGGTGCTCGACATCAGCTGTAGCTGCCCTTCTACTGTATTGCAATATTGGCAATTTAAATAAATGAATAAAAAAAAATATAAATAGAGCTTCCTTTTTTCGATGCCATAGATACGACAATCTAACAAACGTTGGTTGCGAAATATCATCAATATTTACAACAATTGGTTAATGAAATATTATCATATGTTCTGATAACATAGATCAACTGATAATGCACTTCGATCCTTGCCAATGTGTCTCTTTAAACAAAAAATCACAATAACGCGTTTTTTATTAATTTTCAAATTTATTTTAGAATGAAAAGGACGAACAGATTGTTACATCATTCAAAGCGGAATACGTAAGTACATATTTTTTTAAGCCTCCTGAATGGTAGTCGAAAGCCCGCCAATCATAGTAAGGGGTGGGATGGCTGGCGTTCAGCGAAGCTAATTTCCGTCTCGTAAACGGTCGATGCCATTTTAAACGGTCGATGCCATTTCGCAGAACGGCTAACTTTAAGTGTATCAGCACGGTCCATCCACACCGTGGTGTTTTGTGGCGTAGAGGATAGGGTTTAGGTTAGGGTTTAGTGTTGTACAGTTACACTTTTGGACCCGAGTTCGAATCCGGGCTTGTGCTTTTTGTTGTTGTTTTTTTTTCACTAATATTTACAATTCTACATGGCCCTCCCTCATATTTGCAATTAGAATATTGCTTATCTTATCTTATATAGATACTGAGCGAAGGTCCCTCACGGGACATCATGCTCGGGAAAAAAAAAGGTGCACGCCCAAGCACGGCCGGTGGTGCTGGTGGTGCGTAAAAAAAAGAAAAAAAAAGTGACAATAAGAAAACAAACTACTGAATCGGGCTAATCCCTTAAGCTAGTGTGCAAGGTGACTACAATAAACAAGAACAAAAATGTGTGTGGCCACACTTGGGACAGTTCGTTACTAGTTCTGAGTAAGGGAAAGGCCCATGTGTTGGGCCAGTCCCTGTTTAAATTGGCTTAGTGTAGAAGCTGTTACTAGATGTTGTGGCAGGCTGTTCCATTCAGGTACTGTTCTTGGGAAAAAACTCCCTCTGTGTACCTCCGTCCTAGCTGAGAGTACCACAAAACGATGAGAGTGACCTCTAGTCTGACGTGTGTTTGGTGTTAGGTATGCATGTAAGGGTATGGCTATCATGTTGTTAATGGCCTTATACATGAGTGATAAGCGGGCTAGTTGTCTCCGCTGTTGGAGTGACGGTAGTCTGAATGTGGTTCGATGTTGGGTGACGCTTGTAGTGTGTCTGTAATCCCTGGCTATAAACCTAACTGCCCGTCTCTGTACTGATTCCAACTTGTCAACTAGGGTGTTGCTTTGTGCGTATTGGCGTACCTGTGGGTCCCAGACTGCTGATGCATATTCCAGTTTAGGTCTGACCAGTGATGTGTATGCCCGTTCCCTTACCTCCTTGTAAGCCCCCCCTCAGATTACGCCTCAGGAATCCCAAAGTGCTATTAGCCTTGGCTGTGATGTTGTCGATGTGTGGTTTCCACTTTAGATCTTGTGAGAGGATAATCCCAAGGTAGGGGTGTTGCGTGCTGACCTCTCAAGGTACTGAAAACATAGTGTACAAAAATTGTGACATTCTTCTTGTTTTGCGTATGTGGAGAATAGTACATTTTTTAAACATTGAAACTGAGTTGCCATACTACTGACCATTCACATAACGTGTCTAGATCCTTTTGGAGAATATTCTGGTCTTGTGCAGAGTACAGAGGGCGATAGATTAGACAGTCGTCTGCAAAGAGGCGGAGTTGTGAAGAAATGTTATTATCTATATCGTTAATATATATCAGGAACAACAAAGGGCCTAAGATTATGCCCTGGGGCACACCTGACTTGACCTCGGTCGGATTAGATTTAGCACCATCTACAACTACTTGTTGGTGCCGGTCGAGTAGCCATCTTTCTATCCAGTTCAAATTGGTGCCTTTAATTCCATAGAATTCTAACTTTCTGAGCAATCGTGTGTGGGGAACGCTATCGAATGCTTTTGAAAAATCTAAAATTGCCATATCCACTTGATTACCTTTGTCATACATGGAAGTCAAATCATGAAGAGTGCTGATTAATTGGGACTCACAAGAGTGTTTTGCTCGGAAGCCGTCTTGAGTTGGTAGGAGAATGTGCTGGCTATCTAAATGTTTCATTGTAGATGAATACAGTATATGTTCTAAAAGCTTACAGCTAACGCAAGTGAAAGAAACTGGCCTATAATTTGCCGGGTCGCTTCTAACCCCTTTTTTGAATACAGGGTGTACATATGCTTTCCGCCAATCGTTAGGGACCTCTCCCTCCCTTAAAGATTGATTAAAAATGTGATGTAGAATAGGGCTTGTCTCAGAGGCATATTCTCTCAAGATTCTGCATGGTATCATATCTGGGCCTGAGGCCTTTCTTGGATCGATTCCTTCCAGTAGCTTGGTTACTCCCTCTAATGTTACCATTATTGGGGGCATTTCTTGGTATGGGCTCGTCCCTAAGTCTGGTATGTTGGTAAGGTTTTCCTTTGTGAACACAGATTTGTATTGGTTATTAAGTGCCTCTGCCTTACCCTCACTATCTACCACCAAGTCGTTGCCGTGCTTTAGAGGTGCAGTACCCGTGGCTGTTTGTTTTCTGCTCTTAATGTAATTCCAGAATTTCTTCGGGTTTTCAAGTGATTCGTTCATTATTTCTTAAACATAATCATTATGTGCTTTCCTGATTTTACGTTTCACCTCCCTGCGGTAGTTCTTAAAAATTTCCCATTCTTGTTCACCCATGGTTTGTTTTGCCTTTTTATACAACTTCTTCTTCTTTTTAACCGCGCGTTTTATTGATGATGTAACCCACGGGCAGTGGTATTTACCTGATAACTTTTTCTGGGGTATGTGTTTAGTGGTTAAGCGTCTGACAGCATTTGTGAAATAGTACCAGTTCTCCTCCACTGTGAAATTGTCTGGGTTCCTATTGAGAAATTGCTTAGTGAGGTCTATAAATCCACTTGAGAGAGCTCCTTTGTCTGCTTTGTTATGTAGATATACTGTGCGGGGGTTCTTCTTGGTGGGTTTAATGTGGGTCTTCATGTTTACTACGACAGCGTCGTGATCGTTGATGCCTGGAATTACATCTGTCTTATCTACAAGGTCAGGGTTGGACAAAAGGGCAAGGTCCAAGATGTTATTTTCACGTATTGGTGAGCGTACCATCTGAGTTAGACTGGCTTCATGGATTAATTCTGTAAATCTCTCGTTGATCACCATTCCATATTGGGGTGAGCTCTTTACCTGGGGTGGGTTTGGACTCCAATCTATATTTGGGAGGTTGAAATCACCAAATAAGGCTATATTGGGGGGTGATGGTCTGGTTGTAATGTTGTTAATGGAATCTGAGAGTGAATCTATGAAATGTAGGCCGGAATTTGGTGGTCTATAGGCAGAACCTATACAGATGGGTCGATAACCTGCCTGCTGTATCATTGCCCACACAATTTCAGCATTGGTGGGGTCCTGTACTGGGGATGATACTAAGCTTGACCTAACAAGTATGAAAACTCCTCCGCACTGACAATTGCAGTCTTTCCGGTAAATGTCATACCCGTCCGGGAATATTTCCCCATTTGTTATGTTTTCGTCTAGATGTGATTCATTGCCACATATTATATCTGGGTTTTCGATTTCTATCATAGCTCTGAATTGAGCATTTTCCCCTCCCCTTTTATACTTCTGTAGTTCATTGCTAATATCCGTAAATCTTGAAGGATGTGCTTACCTTTGTGTATCTTCTGAGGAAAGCGGGGTGATGAGGTAGAAGTAGGGTGAAAATCTGGGATGCTGTCATTAGAGGTGAAAGTGTTCTGGGAGAGGGTAGAAGGCGTGATTTCTGAAGACCTGGACGAGTATCCGGGCTGAAACCTGGAACCAGATTGGGTGAATTGCGTGAGATAATGTCGATTTCACTGTCCATATCTGCTAAGGGGGCATAGTAGGCCATTGCTTTTTATAGTATTAATTACTTTTAATTCGTTTTTGGACGCTTTGATATGTCATCGACCATTCAGCAAAATGGCATCGACCGTTTCAAATGGCATCGACTGTTTGCGAGATACAAAATTGCTTCGGCGAATTTGGTTACGGTTCAGCTGTTTAAATCATGTTAGAAATATTCGTGCTTAAAACATTCGTTTGGGAGGTTCCATCATAGTTTGCTCATTTTCGAGAGTAAGTCAGCAAAACACCTGCCAACCATTCCGGTGTAAGTCAGCAGTGCTTGGGGCGTGTTAAGAGATCGAATTTGGCTCAAATTTAACTCAAATTCGTTTTTGGTTCCTGTACAAAAGGTAACCGTGGCCTATATCTGGGCTTCCAAAAGACCAGCCGACCTCTGCAGCTGATGATCGGGAATGAATTTGTGAACGTGTGACAATGCGTTAACCATCTGCGGTTCCATAGCTCTTATTGTGTTGTAATATTATAATAAGCAATAAAAAATGCGAGAAATGCAACTTGCCATTTTGAAATAGAAACTATATGCGAATTAGTAACAGTCAAACAGTGACAGCAAATCTTTAATTACGCCCTACTTATGGGGACACACCCAAGCTTTTTGGGGGGTCACAATTCGATTCTGCACACCCTCAACTCTAGCGACCGTCTCTTTCAGAAAACAGTTCTTAAGCCAAAGCACTGTGTTTGCAAATGAAGGATATCCCTCTAGCTACCAGAACAATAGAATTTCAATTTCTTTAACCTCTCCAACCTGCCTGTGTACGCTATAGGCATGGACAGACACTCGGCTACAATGGGAACCTAAAGAATATGGACATCTAGATCACATATTTGTTCTTGACAATCAAATCTGGAAACCGACATTGTCACTGAAAAGAAAGTAAGTATTATATCATTTTTCCCTAATGTAAAACCAACCCAAAATTGTGCATAATCTCAGAACAGCAACCGTTACGGTAGAATGAACGGTGATATGTGATACTAACATATAACTCTGTATAAGAGGGTTTTTTTGTTTAACGTTAAGTGTGGTATATCTGACTTTTAAAAGGGCCCAGGCCCAGTCTATTATACTGTTATCTGATGTGGTCTGTCACTGCTAATTCATGTATGACCCATCATATAGCTTTTTATCCCTTCTCTCTGTCCTTGTTTGGTTTTTATACCCTAAGTATTTACAGAGTTGAATGTATCGTACCCTACTTCGTCCTTCCTTTCGAACATATTTACATACAATATCAAACATAAGAAAGTGTTACTACCGTTAAATCAAGTTAAAAACGTTTTTCTTAAAAGGCTATAAGTCGTATTTATTTTCTTTTAGCGCAGACACAGACTACAAGGGTGAATTCCCTACGACAGAGGTAAGAATGGAGCACACCGGAGAAGTGACCTGGCCTGTAGAACTTCTGACTACAACGACCTGTACCCTGGACCCTTTCCTCTTCCCTCAGGACAACATGACATGTGCAGTGTGCTGGAGAGCTGGAGAGGAGTACATAATAGGTTGCCTTTTTTTCTGTTCCTACATTTATTACAAGGCATACTTATTTTTATGCCGCCACCAACACAGACAAACTAACATACTCATGCTCACCCGAGTTAAGTGAGTAAAGCTGAGAAAAAAAGTGCCTTTCCCAAGAGCACATGATCGGTGGCATGGCAGAATTCGAATTCGGGACATATTGATTTTTAGTCGAACGCCACACGACTCCACTGCATATTAAGCAATAATTATTAAAGATGTGGAGTGGGAATATTTTAAACAAGCTTTAAGAGTATATCAATCGACAAATATTTTGAAATAATTAAGAAATTCTAGAATGCAGTTGCGATCTCTTGCAATCAAAATCATAAAAGTGCATTCCTTACATTCTTCATTGGCTTTGTTACGACGATACTATGGAAGACAAAATGATACAGCCATGAATTCAAATAAACGCCATGACGCCAAATGCGTTGACGCGTTGTAAAGATCCTATACAAACATGAAATAGGCGATTTTCAAATATATGACAAATATGGCAAATAGTACATCTCTTTTATCTTCTTTTCAAGACTGTTCTAATTCAACAACGCATAAGGACAACAACTTCCTGACCTGTCAAAACAACGAGGCTGACATCACCACAGGAGAGTGGAGTGGGAAAACAACCCTTTCAGCTGTCAATAACACTGCCTGTCTGACCATGAGGCTCAAACGTGATCCCACCTATCACTACTCCACAACCATCTCTCCCTGTCTCATCCTTGTCGTCCTGATGGTCATCACCTTCATCATGCCCATTGATAAAGGCGACAGGATTGGATTCGGCGTCACCGTGCTGCTGTCCATGGTGGTGTCGCTGGTCGTCGTCACAAGTTTCCTGCCGGTGTCCAGTAGCCTGCCTTTCATTGGTAATCCCCGTCACACACTTAGAACCGATCTTGCTCCCGTCCTTAGCCAAGATCTTGAATGGGTGGGGGTGAAGGTTCTTTCCACCGTCTAAGAGATGAGCTAAAGCTAGCACCGAAGGCGTGAGGTTCGGGGAGGGAGCTCCCTAGGAAAATCTTTGAAAATTGAACCTTCAAAAACGGTATCTCCTGCTTTTTGAAAGAACTTTAAAGTAAAAAAAAATCAGACATAACTTTTTATTCAATAACAAACTTTTTTTACGATTCCATCTTTTTAGATGAAAAGTGGACCTTTGATCCTTGTTGTGGGTTCTTCCGAACTCCTCGACCCCCCTCCTATCCCCTGGCTACTGGCATGCAAACAGGACAAAGCCCAGTAATAGGGCTTTCCTATGTTAATATATGGGAATTATGTCAAAAGAACGTGGTCAAAATTTATATATCCGAGTTTTAGACCTTGAAAATCCTACACTGGCAGGGTAGTCGAACCTCTCGAGTCTCCATTCCTAAAAAATGAAAAAAAATCCTACGCAGCTAAACTATGCGAGAACTCTACCCGAACATTGGGAAGTGCCCCCCACCCCTCTGGACAGATGATGACCGCATGTAAACCTATATCTTCTTCAGCGAGCCAGCAATACAAACATGGCTGCAAGTCTGTTTTTTCAAGAAAATTAAAATACTACAACCCTTACCTATAACATCAAAGTCCAAAACAACAACATTTCCCAAGAAAAAGACTTCTTCACACTTTACATTACATTGCCATATACTAGAACTGGGCCCTCTGCGCCTGCGCCTGTTACTGACCTTTGCCCAACACCAAACCGTTTGACTAAGGTTTGATAGCAGTCTGACCAGATTTAGGCCACGCCTTCTTTTATATATGATATGATCTATATTCAATCCCAAACACTGTTCGAAAACTGCAGACTTACACCCAAAATCATTGACCGACCATGTTGAAGTCTCTCGACAAATCCGCGAGAATTTTCCAACATTTAGCCTGAATCCCATAGATATGCAACTAGACACATTTTGAATCTATCCCTGAAACTGCCATTAGCACGCCTTGAATGTGGAAAGCGCAAGTTCTCATACAGAGGTGCTGACCTCTGGAATCGTCTGCCACAATCTATAAAGACTTGTACGTCCACGTCTGTTTTCCAATCAAAATGTAAAAGCTGGGCGCGCAGACCTCTGACCTCTCCATTACGACCTAGACAGACTGGACAATGACTCCTATTAATGCTTTGTTATTATTTGTTTATTATTATTATTCATTATCATTATTTTCATCATCATTATTGTTATTGATACTGTTTTCTTTACGTTATTACTTTCGTTATTATAATTATCAGTATTATTTTTTACTGTATCCTGATTATTTTGTACATGTGACTGTATGTATCCAGGGCCCCACTGGAAAGCAGTGAAAAAACACTGAGTGGGCCACCCTGGTGAAAGAAAACAGAAATAAATAAATAAATAAATAAATCCAGTCTGATCGTGGTCGGGGTAGCAAGTGCCCTGTCCCGCCCGCCTCACACATGTTGCCCGGTGTGTATTTCACGAAACTTAAGATTACTTAGCCCTCCACGTGGTGGGGGAAACCAAATCCTTAAGCATACTGTCTCTTATTAGCATAACACTCCTGCCGGGACCAGACCGGGACGGCCTGTTGAACTGGGCGGGGGGACCTCTTAGAGCCCCCGAAGACACAGCCTGCCTGAACACCCCCAACCACGTAAGACTGGATACCAGCCTATCAAACATTATGAAACTTCTGACTTGCGCAACCGGATTGTAGCCAACATCACCGAACACCAGTCAACCCTGCCGGCTTTGCTCTGACCTACTCCCAACCATGGTTGCAGGGCGTTCGACTGGTGGTCGGGAGGACGAATTCTACGAAGGCCCACAACGACACATCCAAACACCTCTTCCACAACCACCTTCCACGTCGCGCTGCCAAGGATATACCTTCCATAGCGCGCGGAAGATCCGCGGAATCGCGCTATGGAAGGTATATCCTTGGCAGCGCGATGTGGAAGCTCTGCGGAATCGCGCTATGGAAGGTATATCCCTTGGCAGCGCGCTGTGGAAGGGCTGTGGAAGACGTGTGTGGAAGTGTCGTTGTGGGCCTTTGTATAATTCGTTAATGTTTTACATGGGCTTTGGTGGTAAAATTTTTCCTTCTCTTCCAGCTATGCTGATCATTGTGTGCATGGCTCTGATGGCTCTCTTCATGCTGACGACTGTTTTCATCATCATCATACATGACAAGAAAGGACCTGTCCCTAAATGGGTGCGGACGGTCTTCCTGAAGTACTTAGCAAGGTATGTCAAATACTTGAATACAACAGATAATATGGTAATCATTATATCGACCATACATGACCAGGGTTACCACCCCTTAAGGCGCGGTCACATTTCCCAACCCGGGGCCCGGTCGGGCAGTCGTTTGGAACGAAAATTATTGTTTGTTTGTTTGCGCCTTTATTTATTGATGAAAATACACAATTCGGCCAACAGGTTGCTTTTCATTGTGGTCATCATGCAGGGGAGAGGTACAAGGGTCAACAAATTCCTACAAAAAACATAATGTATACATCAGACTTGGATACATGATTCAGAGTCTTAATAAATCTAAACACATATTCATCATAACATGGTACAACTTATATACATACATAATTAAGTAAATACATAGACGTCAAAGCAGGTAAGTAGTTCTTGTCCGTTCGTTTTTCATTCCTGGTTTCTACCTCTTTAGGAGTCTCTTAAAGGAAGCGAGGGTTGGGGCCGTGCGTATGTCCACTGGAAGACTGTTCCAGGCAGTGGGTCCGCGGTAGGCTAGGGATCTTCTAAAGCTCTCTAGATGAGGTTTAGGAACAACTAGTTTATTGCTTGTGCTTTGTCTAGTTGACCTTGTGCTTTGCTCGCTACAGTAAGCAAACATCTGGCGCATGTAGTGTGGAAGTTTGTTGTTAATGGCTTTGTAGACGAGCATGATCTCGTGGTGTTTATGCGTTGCTTCAATGTCTTTCCAGCCCAGCCGGTTAAGCAATTCGATTGATGGTGTCCTGTAAGGCGCCTTCAGTATCAGTTTTCCTGCCCGATTCTGCATCCGTTGTATCTTCTGCAGATCTTGATCTGGAGCAGTGTACCATGCTGTGCAGGCATATGTTATGTGTGGCAGAAAAATGGCGTTATACAAAGTGCAAAGAGCTGACGTTGAGATGAAGGGGCTGACGTGTTTCATCATAAAAGAAGAACGCCTCAATTTCCCTGGTACAGCTTTCACCTGGTCCTTCCAGTTTAGTTGACGGTCGATAACCACACCTAAGTAGGTGTATTTATCACATGTTTTAATGTTGACACCATTGACAGTAAGTCTGGGAGGGTTACAGTTTGTCAGTCTCTTGTTCGTTCCTATGTACATACATTTACATTTGCCACCGTTCATTGATAGCGAGTTTGCGGCAAACCATTTCGACAGCAACATTTTGTAGGTCGTTCTGAAGTACCTGCTCAATGTTTGTGGAGTTTTTATGACTAAAGTAAATTACAGTATCATCTGCGTACATTGAAATATCGCAAGACTGTAAACATTCAGGCATATCATTGACATATAGGAGGAAAAGAAGGGGCCCCAATATCGATCCTTGGGGCACCCCATATTTTACTTGGTGAAACGCAGAACTTACTCCGTTGATGGAGGTGCAGTGCTTCCTTCCGGTGAGGTAAGACTGGAACCAGTTGAGTGCACTACCTTGTATGCCGTATCTAGACATCTTCTGGAGAAGGATGGAATGATCCAGAGTGTCAAATGCTTTGGACAAATCAATAAAGACTGCCTCCGTCAGTTTACCGTCGTTCATGGCCTTGAACCATCTCTCAGTTAATAGGTGTACAGCTGTTTGTGTTGAGTGTCCAGGTCTGAAGCCAGATTGGACTTCTGAGAGAATACTGTTGGTTGTCAGGTAATCGTAGAGTTGTATGTGCACGGTTCTTTCCAGAATTTTGGAGACGGCAGGAAGGATGCTGATGGGTCTGTAGTTGTTGGTGGCATCTCGATCACCAGCCTTGTATATGGGCGACAGCCTTGCCCTTTTCCAATCCTCCGGGAATTCACTTGTCTGTATGGAGGCATTTATGATGGTTGTCAGAGAAGGTGCTATTTCTTGAGCGGCTGACTTCAAAAGTTTGTTGTTGAGCTGGTCAAGTCCAGTGGCTTTGTCAGGCTTCAGAGCTAAGAGTTGTTGGGTGACGAACTCCTCTGTCACAGGTGTGAGGGTGAAGCGGGACTGGTAGTCCCTGACAAACTGTAAAGGACTGAAATGAGATAGCCCTTTGTTGATGTTTTGGGCTAGCATTTCAGCAACCGTTCCAAAGTACTTGTTAAGTACATGTGCAATGTCTAGTGGTGATGTTTTTGTGTTTCCCTCCTCGTCCTTCCTGCTTGTGATGTCACCCGAGTTTTGCTTTCCCAACAGAGACTTTATTTTTTTTTATTTTTTTTTTTTTTAATACTGGTTTATTTCTTTCATACTATGCTGTACAGAGTAGCAGGGTCCCCGTAGGGCCCTGAATTGGTCTGCCGCATTACAAATTGTTAAAAACGGTTGGCACAAATATTAAAAGCAATTATTAAAGACAGTTAAAACAGCAATTATTAAAAGTATTTACAATAGGTGGCGATCATAGTCAAGCGGTTAAAAACAGCAAAATTGTTAAAAGTATTTACAATAGCATATACCGTGTCATGACAGATTGTTGTTCTTGGAGTTCCACATACCGGGCACAGAAACACTGTTGATTTTGTCGGTGTAGTAGTTGCGTTTGCTGGACAGGATTAAGCTCTTGGTGTGATTGCGTAGTTTTTTGTACGTTTCCCAATCTGTTAGTTTTTGTGTTTTTTCGGCTGTATACCTTGCTTTGTCTCTGAGGGACATGAGCTCGCGCACATCTTCAGATAGCCAGGGCGGGCAATCAGTTCCTTTTACCCTGAATTTCTTCACTGGAGCATGTCTGTCGCAAACTGACTCGAACAGTGACTTCCACTCACTCCACATGTCCTGAACCGAGTCGAAGACGGAAACTGATATAATAAATTATGATATATTATATAATGATTTTCGTTCCAAACGACATAATAAGACAGCAAAACACCGCAAAAAAGTTTCAGAAAATTATCCATGACTACTATTTGTGTATACTCTTAATACAAATTGTTTATTTTTCGTTCACGCAAACAACCCGGCCGGGCCCCGGCTTGGAAATGTGACCGTGCCCTTACGAGGTACGATAGGTCCCGCCCGGGCGATAATGTCACAATGTGTCTTATGCGAGACACAATTCATTTATTATATCAGTGTGGGTGGGTGTTATTTGCATATTTGATTATACATGTTGAGACAAAATCTTATCAAATGATTGTAGCGATTTCACATTAGAAATGTATGTAATTTGGGTTTTAAAAAAGCACGCATAGAATAGATTATGCTATATGTAATCATCACATATCCATGGTTAGTAACAAAAATCCAGAAGCAAAAGAATCACAACGGCTCGTAATTTTTTTTATTTATAATTAGTACATATCTTCAAATCACTTTTTACTTTGATTATACATACTAGCTTTTTTTCTTTTGTCTAAGGGCCCTACTGATGGGAGACTTGACCAAGAATCTGAAAGATGAAGAGGCAGCAAAATACACCATACGCAAGAACGTAACATACATCGAAGGACAAGACAACGACGCGATGGTGATGGACAACGACGGAGGAGACAACCCACCTATGAACGTGCAAAATGAGGTCGCGGCTACCCTTATTGGGTTAAAAGGAAGCGTAGATGACCTTAAGGTCAGTGTTAAGCAACTGTCTGGGAGTATCGATGTTCTGGCAAAGACAAGTGGTGGAGATGACGATGAAGAAGTTGGGGAGTATGCTTTGTTGGCTGGTGTGTTAGACAGGCTGAGTTTGATCCTTTATGTCATCGCCATTGTTGTGGCCGTTCCATGTAGTCTGCTTATTGGTCGACCACGTATTAGCCCTGACTAAAAGGGAGAGACAGAGAGAGAGAGACAGTTAGAGAAAGGGAGAGAGAGAGAGAGAGAGAGAGAGACTTAGAGAGAGACTCAGAGAAAGGGAGAGAGAGAGAGAGAGATTTTGTTGTTTATTTTTGAACGCAAACTTTGTAACTTTTCATATTATCCGGTACTTGGTTCCATACATTGGTCCAGAACCTACCATTCTCCCTCGCAGAGCTATCCGCGCCAAGTTATGCTAAGGTCCCAATTGGGAAAAGGGGCCCTGGCGGGTAGTACCCGAGCTGTTTTTTGGCACTTTCGGGCGGGACCCCTACGTTGCCCCGCGGGACACCCCGCGGCTATCGGGCTATTTTTGGGCCCGGCGGGGCCCCGAGAAGAATTGAACTCTGAGTTAAATTCTACCCGGGTCCCGCTGACAAAAAGACACCGTGACCTCACCGTGAGAACACCGAGAGGTGCCCCTCCGGTTGCCGGCAGTCCACCGGGACACATTTGTTACGTCACAGACCAGATGAACAGAATAAAGGTGTGTACTTCGTAAACCCGGGTAACATGTGTGACGTCACAGATCAAATGATCACAACAAAAGCGTGAATTCTGCATTACTTATTGGTCAGTACAATACATCGTCAGAGAATCTGCCGGGTACCTGCCGGGTGCCTGCCGGAGACCAACCAAAGAGGTTGACAAAATTTTTAACAAAATGCTACTGAAGGAAACTTTTAATTGTGCCCACGACAGACGATGCCCGCCAGACTCCTGAGCCCGGCCGGGGCCAGCCGGGGCTACATCCCTGACGGGCACCGAGGTAATTGGGACCTTACCTTTAGGTAGATCTTTGATGGAGAATGGAACATTTAAACCTTGGGGTGCCTTAACTTCGGACGCTTTTTCACGCGCTGGAATTCACGGCACTTTATTGCTAGTTGTCAGAGAGTGTTCAGGTTTTTGATGAATAAATTTTGAGAACATTAATGTAAACAACGTACTTACGTGAACTTGAATAAGAAATTCATTAATGCTATTCACAAAGCCTTCCCGATACGTGTTACAAGTGACAAACCTTTGAGACGTTTTCGTAAATGTACCTTCGTGAATGCGGCTACACTGGACAGTGTGTCCTGACTTCGAACGCTTTCGTAATTTTGCTATCTTCGGGCGTTGAGAAAAACTTTAAGTAAACAAAAATTAGAATAAAATTCCATGATATTTTAGCTTTCTTTTGACAGTTAAAATGCGATTGTGTGTACTTCTCGTCTCACGTGAGGAGGGTTGTATCCAGTGTACTTTTGCATAATAAGATCGGTAAAAATTCAATCCGGAGTTAGGGCACGTCCGAAATTAGGGCACCCCCGTTAAAATTTGTTTATGCTGCGCACCGTATGAATTCAAAGAAGATGTTTTATCGATCTTAACAATTGCACTTTAGGTTGGCCTGTTACAAGGATAACAAAGAAAAAACGTTGCATTAAAGATATCAGATGGACTAAATACTAGTTCCATCTGTCCGAAAAAAGGAAATGATGAGCAAAAAAGCCCGAAAACAAAGGTCACAAAATGTAATAAACTGGATATTTTATAGTAATTAATTATATTCCACGAATGTACGTAATCTATAAAGGACAAGCTTTGATGATTTACAATGTCACTTTTTAAGTGCCGATTTTTCAATCCTTAATTATCTTAATTATGGATAGTTTGAAGCAGTATCTTCTGTATTGTAACATTATGATATGGTTAATTCCTTTCATGTTACAGTTTGACGTCATGTGTGATGTGTTACATTATGTTAGCTCAGCTTAATGTAAGTTGTAAAATGGTATGTTTTTGTACTACATAAAGTAATATGCAAAGCATGTTGTATTTTTGACAAATTGATACACTTTAAATGTCATGTTCGTGTTCGGACTATATATATTGATAGGGTATACAAGATATTGTCATCTGGGCTAATAAGAAGCCTCTGTAACGTAGCCACTATTGACTGTGTAAATAATTTTCAAAGGTTTTTCAAGTTTGTGATCATTTTATATTATATGGATAACTACGCTACATTGATTATGATACACAAGCATGTTATCAACATGTATAGCAATATATATATATATATATATATATATATATATATATATATATATATATATATATATATATATATATATATATATATATATATATATATATATATATATATATATATATATAACCATTTCGATACGAACGTTTTTTTAAACTTACGTTTGCAAATAATATTTACCGTCAAATAATACCTATATTACATATGGCAAACAATGTTTACAGTAAACGTATCAAGAAGCATTTGTTTTCATACAATATAGAAATATTCCATTGTATATGTACTTGAAAATTGCAAGTAATATTCATATGTTATCATAATGATTTTTTTTTAATTTCCTGTATAACCAAGAATAATGTCGTGTAGGGATATAATGTGTTATCCGAGTATTTGATACAAGAAAATTTTTCTTTACTTCTAAACATATGGTTTTTGCAATATCGCAATAGAAAAAAATGTTCAACATAGTCAAAAAGAGTAACGAAACCAGCATCTGTCGTTCTCGAAAATGCCCTGTCTTTGTAATTTTACCCTAGTCGGATAGACATTGTGTAGCACTTTCCACTGTAGAATCCTGGGATCCTTTATTACACACACACAAAAAAAAAGATTTTGTGTAAATTTCTAAATTTCACAATTTTCCAGACATGAAACAAACAGTCGTAATATTAGTACAGTGAAGTATTTATTTCTATGAGAATAGAACTGCATATATATGTTAAAACCTTTAATTTTGGAACACATTTATACAAGCGACACCTGTGTTGTACGATGTAGACCATTCAGAAATGCCCTGAAGAAGGTGACAGACGGTTACCGAAACGTTAAAAAAACTGGTTGTCAAGAAGGAATTTCGTAATAAAAGCTTTTAATTTGTACGGACATAGATTGTTTTTGTTACAATATGCATAGGGTGGGACTTTTTGTACTTTTGTAGCAAATGCATGCGTCAGGACATGATACCCTCGAAGAAAAACCTGTTCAACAAGTCGACACCTATTTTAATTTGCGTATTAGGCCACATCGTCTTAATTTTATGGATGACATCTGCGCGCGCATTGATTTTCGCCTGTTCTAAAAAGGAAAAGATCACGTCCACCAAGGCTCTGGCCTGGCTCTAGGCCTGGGTAGTCCATGGTAGTCAGCGACAATACGAAGCCGGACGAAGCCGGGCACCCAGGCTACCAAAGCTCCACGACTCAAGAACTCAGTACATACGTACAGTGCCCATTCATACATTCCACAAAAAGCCAGCATGTGCTGTCTTTACGTATACGTCGCTATCTACTACCGCAATATTCACAATACCAGCATTGTATTCCTGTGGTTTAGTAGCATTTTTATTTTCAGCCGGAATATTTTTTATCGGCCCGCGCGCACTAGTTTGGGGGTCTTCAGAGGATGCCATCCATAAAATTAAGTCGGCATGGCCTTATCCATTTTACGAAGACTTGTAACGTGTAAATGTTGTATAAGACTGTATGTCCCAGTGCTACTTGTATCCGATGATGAACCAACCTGTAATTTGCTATGAAAGTAGTGACAAAAGGGACATTTTAAGTAAGTAGTTAGTTGTCACAATTCGTTTCCTAATACATAGACGAAAAACGGCGCAAAATACTCTGATAATTGTTTTTTGTTTAATTATCAGCTTCGTACATTAAATTTTACCTACAAGTACTGTGGGAATTTAATACAAAATGATCCCAAAGTTGTAAAACATATTACGTATAGAATAAAGAGTCATCGGATCGAGTTTAGCCGCCTGATTACAGGACGAGGACGTCGTCAATTGTGGTCAGGTGACGTCACTAGGGCTAAGAGCTCGTGACAGAAGAAAAAAAAAACAGGGTGGGGTTTTGTCGTCTTTCAAGAGACCGTGTGCCGACACCAGGTAAAATTGTTCCAAAAATCGTCGATTCTTTGGAGGGTTTTTTTCGTATCTTTAATACTGTTTTCTTGGCTTTAACCGCCCTCAGTTGTGTACAGTAGATTGTATTTGTCTAAACAACAGAGGCGTTCTTGTTTGTCAACCTATAATTTCATACGTGCATGCAGCTGTAAACAGTTCCGTTTCTTATCTCACTTTGCTAAATTTTGATATCCATCCTGTTTCTACATACTATTTGTCTTCGTAGAATATTTCAAAAGGCAGTAAGACTTTTTTTAAAAAAGAAGGCTAATAAGACACTGTATGTTTTTTTTTTAATGTTTTAAATCTGCCAAGTCGCTGACCCACTTTCCGAATCTTTCCCAACCTCGACCCGGATTGCCAACCAACCAAAGTTTGAGGAAGGTTTAGAACATTCTGACCGTTTTAAGTGATGTCTAAAATTCGCAAAAGACCATTTTAGAACAAGAACATTGGTTACTCCTGTGCTCAACCGAGTTTTGAATGTTTTAACCTACTTCCAACAACCCTAAAAAAACGCAGACCGCCCGACACTTTTCTAAACGAATCCCAACATTCTACCGACTCCCTGACAAGTTGCTATGTGTTTCATCAGCCTTTAAGAAATACTTTATAGCTAGGCATATGATCTTCTATTAGGTATTGGCAGATAATGTAGAGATTTAGGTTTGATGATGGAAACGCCTGTTTAGAAAGATTTAAGTGATCGTTTTGTAATGCTGGCATGCAGCAAAACAAAACCGGTTCATCAAGTATAATTACCCAGAGCTGAATTCTCTGCGATTAGACACGATTCTGCCAAAACATCACGTGTGACACTTACAGGTGCAAGAAAGCTGTTGTTCGAATAACTTATAGATAGATTCATCCTAGATTTTCTATTCTTCTCTATCTATATCTAAGCTTCGCTGACTTCACTTGAAATATATTGTTTGTGAGAATAGCAATCTGTGAAGACATAGGATACAGTCTTGATTTCAACTAGAATGGCAGATATTTTCTTAGGAGTAAGTACAGCGTATATGTGTCCGTTTCCGTCCTCATCCCAAAATGAATTGTTCTGTATCGATTTTTTTTTTCATAATAACAGTATTCTTCGATATGGAATGTTGTTGTCCCAGTTTTCGACACAATGAACAATGCACCAGATACTAGTACCTATAATGCCACTTATAAAGGGCGTCGGGTGGTGTAGTGGTTAGAGCAATCGACTGTGAACCGGGAGACCCGGGTTCGATTCCGAGTCGTACCCGGGACACGTCTGAACATGCGCCCCGACGTTGTGCCCTTGGGAAAGGCACTTCACACGAATTTCCTCACTCCACCCAGGTGTGAATGGGTACCTAACTTCGGTTGGGGAAAGTCGTATTGAGGTCACCTTGTGGCGCCGAATGGCAGCCGCACAGACCCTTGCGACAGTTCCACAAAAATGATTGTGGAACAAATATGTGTATTATTTGATTGTTGTAATTGTTGTGATTTGTATTGATTATTATGTGATACCCTGCACCAATTCAGCCGTATAAAGGCTGCGACTGCACGGGTACTGTTTGGACAATAAAAACCATTTATTTAAATAATTAACCCTCAAGAGAACACCTTCCCGGACTGATTAATCTGTACACCTGGGGTCCGCGCGGACCCCAGAACAGTTTTTTGCTAATTTTAGAAATTGTCAACATGCTACCAGCTTAATTGTTTTGCAAAGTGATGTGTGAACCTCTATGTCCACATTACGTACAAAAATTATGCATTTTCAACTTTTCTTATTTTTTGGTGAAGAAAAGAAGAAAATAAGAAATACCAAATTTTTAAGCCCTATTCAGACAGAAAGGGCTTTTCAGGCCCAACTTTAATCTCAGATAGCGCCTGAACGGCTTACCCTAGAAGCATCAAATTTGGTGACCTTTCTAAAATGTATCTAGGAAAATGTTTATATTAATTTAATACTAGTAAGTTAATTATTTTTTGTATGTTACCATGGCAACGGGTTTCTGATGGGCAGTTTTTTTAAATATCAGTAATTTTGGTTTAAACATAAAAAATATGGGTTTATGTCAAATTACACTTCCTTTCTAACATTAATAACATCTTACATAATTAAATATAAGTTAAATCATTTCATATGCATAGAATATGCTAATTTGATGACGTCATTGGTCAAAATCCAATATGGCGGACTATATTATTAGCTCTGACGTCATATGACGAAATAATTACACCAAAGTTATTAAAATTTAATTCTATTACTACACCATTCTCTGAAAACTTGGTAGACATACGATGAGTGTATAAAAACATATAAAAACGGAAATAAGGTAATGTATAAGAACGCCAGTGTATCCATTATGATCGAAAGCCGGCTGGGGTCCGCGCGGACCCCAAAAGAAAATCAGATATAATTTTTTTTATAAATTGTAGAAACGGAGTTTTCTGCACTGTATTGAGAGACAACTTTGTGGGTGACAATTACCTAAAATTTCAGAAAAAAATCTTTAGAAACAAAAAAAATATTACAGAATATATAGTGCTGGGGTCCGCGCGGACCCCAGGTGTACTGTTTAGGGTTAAGAGATTTCATTGTCCAATGCTTTGGAAAAGTCGAAGTAAAACAATTACAAAAACTGGAATGCCTTTAAACATATATACAAAATTATGGTAAAGTCCTAGGAGTGCACTGTTTAAACTAATTAAAGTATATTAGTTGATTTACAATAAATAAAGGCGCCGACAAGTATTTGGAACGCATACAAAAATGTCTTTTACGCCATATGTTTACTATCTCTTTATTTTTATCCAAGCATTTGGTTTTCTGTATGTTTCTTTGTACGTTTTTTGCAACTGTCAACTACGTAGCTGGTGACCATATTCTCATTGTATCACTTGTTTCTTCTACCAAAACAGAGAAGTCCAAGTCTGCTCACATCACCAAAGAAGAGAAACAAATCCTAAAGCGGAGACTCAAAGAGTTGAAGAGAAAACTCGACGACGACATCAAAGAAGAACGAGGATCCCTCATTGATCGTATGATCGCACTTCAGGAAGATCTGGAGCAGAAGATCGCAGATCTAGAGAAAGAGCTGCAGTCGACGCGCAGACAGAAGGAGGCTTCGGATTCACAAAGAGATGAAGCAGTCAGGGACAAGCGGATGACACTCCTACAGGTCGATACGTTGGAGAAAGAGTTGAGGAAGCTGGGGTTTGAGAAAGACGAGCTACGCCGAGAGCGAGACATGGCGTTCAGCGCGGAGGAGACAGCAAAGAGGGAGAAGCAGAGCTACGATCGGGCAAGGGAAGCGGCGGTACGGGACAAAGACGACCTCAGGCGGGAGAGAGACGAAGCGCTGCGGTCAAAAGACCAGGCGTGGCAGGAGAACCGCGTGCTGGCTAACGCCCTCTCGGAGAGAGATGTCGCCGTGGCGGAGCGAAACCGCGCCGTGAAGGAAAAGAACGAAGCTGTTGCCGAGAGGGAGAGAATGCAAGCCGAGCTTATCTCTGCAGCGAGAGATCGTGACATCTTCCTGAAAGAAAAAACAGCCGCACAAAAAGAGAAGGAGAGATACAACTCCGTCATGGTCAAGGCGCTGGCTGACAAGGAAGAGTCAGAAAGAACGCGCGACGAGTCCGTCAGCGAGAAAGTCCAGGCAGTGTCAGAGAGGAACAGGATGGAAAAAGAAATGACGGAAGCCAAGAAAGACCGAGACGCAGCTATACGGGAGATGAACAAGGCGATCCGGGAAAGAGAAGAGGCCGTGTTGGAACGCCTTCGTGCAATAGAACAGAGCAGAGCGCTGGAGAAGCAGAATGATGCCGCGCTAACTGCACTGGGAGGGTCCGGTAATGCACTGGACACGCTCCATAGGGACACACCGGACTCACAGTTAAGCTAAGGGATCACTAAGTCTGTCATAATAGACTGTATCTGTGGAATTATCAAATATTGTTTTTTTTAATACGTAAAAATAGACTACGTATACCAGTTCAGGGAATTTTGTGAAACATTTAAGTTAATATTCTAATTCGAAAAGATGCCAAAGGCTAAATATGCAACAAAACCCAAGAACATTTTTACATTTTTTTTTTATTTGGAAAATTCTTCAGATAAATGAGATATGTAAGGATAAACATGTAATCTTTGAATTTATAAAGCGAACATATATTATTAATAACTGTTAAAAACAACACGACTAGTAGAGTTAATTTCACTTTATCAAGTGTTTTTACGCACATTCACAACTAGGATTGCACATAATTCACTGCACAAGGTATCAAGACAAATGTCTTTTGGATTTGTTACTCACATTTGATGTCACTTAACAAATGTTGGATAGATGCACCTGTAAATTACAATAGACGCGTCTTTTGTATTAAAAAGAACAGTGACTACTATGTATGATTGTTGCCTTTTTTTTATCAACCTTTATTTGGCACATTGTGGGAGTCATGTGAAATGCAGCCGACGCACCGTACTAGGTCGAGATTCTAAAATATCCTAATTCGAATTATATTGGCTCAAACATCTCCTTTGGGGTTTGTCCATAAACATTGTGTCCTGCTAATCTCCAAGCAGATCTTTTGGTGGGGGTAAGACAGTATCAAATTGGCCAGTCTGTGTGGGGAAATGGTTACAGACTGGCCAATTTGATACTGTCTTACCCCCACCAAAAGATCTGCTTGGAGATTGTGTCCTGCGACGTCAAGGTAATGCACCACATAGTATTTATGGGCAAACCCCGTAGTCAAAAGTAGTACGGGCACAAAGTAGGTCGGCGTATACTTATGAAAGGCGCAACGATTCTTGTGTGTACGACAGCAAGGCGGCTACTGTGGTACAGGGTAGAGGAATACGTCAGATTTGAGACTGATCTTTGTTCGGTTAGCGTAGATTTGCGCCTTGATACTGCCACAGCCTAGTGCTGCAGTTCTATGACCTTCTGCATGGCGGTTTTGAAAAGATTGTTTCAGGAGTTACCTAGCTGACAAACTTTAGCCCATTTTCACATATTTTGTACATTATTCCTTGACCTCAAACATATTCAAGTTCTGTAGGTCACTTTGGGGTTCTTAACTATAGAAATCTCCATAGGCCGGAAACTTTGTCATGCTACCTCGATCAATACTACAGCCTGATAGCCCTGACCTTTGAACCTTGTCGAGGACGCGCGCCTGCGTGACGTCACAGGTGACCTCCCTGTACGCCTCAGGGGTTCATTCATATACACACTCCTGTCTCGTCACGTAATGGCAAAATGGCAACGTAGTCAGGCCAATGTTCCTTTTAGTCGATGTAGTCGCTTGCAGATAAAGTAAATGTGTCAGAATAGGACGAGAATCTAAGCCTTTTGATGACGACTCTAAACGTAACAGCTTCTTTTTAAATGACCTTGTATCAACACACTCGATTCCCTCCCACTCATACCCGGATGTCGTCTCCCGTACACACATCCCTCCCCCACCAACAATGGATATGATTAGATCGTGTTTAAAACATGGTATGTTTGGTCATAGTTTAGCTCAAGGAGGTTTAATATCAGTCTTGTACTAACCTCATTGGTTAGCTTAGCTGGCGTTTGGGAGTTAGGTCTGTAGTGCTCGGTGTTCAAATTTGACTCAAAATTATCTCAACTTGCCTTCGATTCAACTCGTATGAAAAGGTAGGCGTGGCCTAAGTCTGGTAAAACTACTCCCGACCTTGGTTGGTAATCAGGGGAAGGTTCAGAATGTATGGCGGGGGGTTTAGATACGTGTGACGTCATGGGGATCCCCCTATACGTCCCAATGCCGGAAACTGTGACTGTCATGCCTATTTTTAGTTCAATTACTAAAGATTGGTGCTTTGTTTCCTTGAAGCAAACTGGCATAGCTTTATTCGTGGTAAGTGAAGCGCCTAATAATACCCGGTAATTATGCCTACACAGGTTGGATATGCACCTTACTAGTTTGACTTTTCCTCATTAAGCTGGTGACACCAACTTAGACGGAGGTATTAAGTATTGTGCTTTGAGCAGGTAGGATCATTGTGTTTACATTTGATTAAATGTGTTTTGTAGTGTGGCATTAATATATTTGTTGTTGATTCTTTTATTGGGGAGCTTTTTTACCTTTTGTCGATTTTTTAAAACAAATTATGATTGTTCTTCACGTAGCAGAATATGACCTCCGGAACATAGCCGAACTCCCCCGACCATAGTTGGGAGTAGGTCGGGAGCGAAGTCGGCTATTGTTGTCTGGTGTTCGGCGAGGTCGGCTACTGTTAGGCAGCACAAGATTGCTGAATGTTAAAACAGTTAAAAACATTCGCGAGTGGTCTGGGGTTAAGCCACGATTAAGGTTTTGTTTGCTGGTTGTTGGGAATAAGTCAGCGGTAATCATATTTTAATAGATTCTTATAGAAATGTGGGTAATGCCTATTTTGGTTGCAATGTTTCTAAACTTCAGGCTTCTCTTCCCAATAGATAAAACATGGCGAATTTTGACGAAGAAAAGGCTCTTCCACCAAACGATTTGCTGCCCGGAGGACTTGCTCCGATTGAGATCAATGCTATCAAGGTTGGCATTTTTTTTTTTAATTGTTGATTTATTGCGTGTTTGGTATGGGCAACGTCTCACGGCTTTTATATAAAATGCCACATATATTTACTTCTGGGTTAAGGTGTACTCTTTCCGGGATCTTAGTTGTGGTTTTTCAGGACAAATTAACAACCCATTGATAACGACTGTTGATTGTAAATCTGTGCCATAATGATTGTCAATTATATACTCAGATAATAATCACCCAATGTGCTTATGATGTGCCCTAAGATATATTTTCATATTAACCCTCGTATAAGAAAAAAAAACAATTGTTTTGTTTGGTTTCTTCTTTTTCTACTCCTTCATCTTCTTTCTCAGTTTCAAACAAATGATGTCAATAACCTGGACCACACGTCTGTCAACATGGTAACGTGTGCTGTAGTAGACACCCTGTGATGTTGGATTACATTATATAGCAGAAGAAGAGGCTGCGCAACATACATATAAATGCATTTGGCATTAAGAATAAACAATGCAATGGTTTGTTGTGCTAAACCAGGTGAAGTTTAATCTCCAAGCAGATCTTTTGGTGGGGTAAGGCCACCATGGGGAAATGGTTACACTCGGACTGGCCAATTTGATACTGTCTTACCCCCACCAAAAGATATGCTTGGGAATTAAAGTTAAGCTTTAAAAATTTTTTGTTAATGTCTAGTTTTCTTTTGCATGCTCTTCCTACAGAGAGAACGAAGGGAAGTAAATATGAATCGTCAGAAGGTAGTCCTCTGCGTGACGAGTGTACTGGTGCTGCTGCTTCTTGTTGTGGGCTGCATCCTCCTCGCCCTCTACCTTCATGTTGACTCGGACGATGCAAAGCAAGACGTATACAACACTTTCAAACAAACCAAAGGCATTAAACCATTTCACTCTTTTGAAAGCTAAAACATTACCACAGATTCAATATACTGTTAAATCATGCTGCTAAAATATATCTAAACATTTCTATGCTACATAAGCCGTAGTTGTTTACAGAAATATATAAGCTGTGCATGTCTACAGTAATGCTGAGGTATATAAACTGTACATGTCTCAGTAATGCTGGGGTATATAAACTGCACATGTCTACAGTAATGCTGAGGTATATAAACTGTACATGTCTAGAGTAATGCTGAGGTATATAAACTGTACATGTCTACAGTAATGCTGAGGTTTATAAACTGTACATGTTTACAGTAATGTTGAGGTATATAAACTGTACATGTCTACAGTAATGCTGAGGTATATAAACTGTACATGTCTGAAGTATTGCTGAGGTATATAAACTGTACATGTCTACAGTAATGCTGAGGTATATAAACTGTACATGTCTACAGTAATGCTGAGGTATATAAACTGTACGTGTCTACAGTAATGTTAAGGTATATTAACTGTACATGTCTACAGTAATGCTGAGGTATATAAACTGTACATGTCTACAGTAATGCTGAGGTATATAAACTGTACATGTCTACAGTAATACTGAGGTATATAAACTGTACATGTCTACAGTAATGCTGAGGTATATAAACTGTACATGTCTACACTAATGCTGATGTATATAAACTGTACATGTCTACAGTAATGCTGAGGTATATATACTGTAGATTTCTACAGTAATGCTGAGGTATATAATCTTTAGAGATCTTTAGATGTCTACAATAAACTGTTACATTTCTACTATAATGCTTGTGTATATATGCAGATGTCTACTGTAATTTGTAGGTATATAAGCAGTTACAGTAGGTGTCTTTAGTAATAATGGTGTATACAAGCAAATGGATGTGGCGATCGCTTGTTAAAAATCCAAGTGTAGTGATTATGGAAAATCCAAAATACACAACTCTCTGCAGCAATTTAGACATAAACTTTTTTGCACTTTATGAGGGTCTGCATGCGGGGTCATGGCAACGGTTGACGGTAAATTCAGCAGGGCCGATAACGCTTAACGGTAAATTCAGGACGGTCGGCAACGCTTAACGGTAAATTGACAGGCTTTTTTTTTCGACCTGCACTGGATTTGGTATCTCGCTTTGTGAGAAAAGGTGATCAGTGACAAAATTACGTATACTTTACATGTAATGAAGCATGCATTAAAGGTATGTGTTTCCCACCTGCCCTGGTCCCCGAGTGCGTCCACAAATACCGGGGTGTCCGAGTCCTTTATAACTGCTGCTCATCTACCTAATATCATTAAGATCCATTCACGAAATATCGAGCTATGTTGTACGCTCACAATCACCACATGCACAAAAAGTCCGATACGGCAAAGCCAGAAATTGAACGACAGTCCCACAATAGCTATCTACATGCAAAAAATAAAATGCATCCAAAAAAGCCAGTTATTACGTTAGAGTACATGCGTACACA